GGTCGGATATCAGCCCTCATACTGAAAGCCACAAGTGCTAGATCTGTACCCAAGTGTTGTGGGACTTCCTGGACATTTTTTAATACAAGCAGGGAGAGCCTGATTTTCCCACTCCATTATACCAATTTATATTGGTGGAACTCCTTGGGCTTGAGTGGAAAGTCACTAGTTTTTACACCAGAGTAACACAGTGGAGAGTCAGTCCCTGAGTGTTTAATTTCTGGACAATTATGCAGTGGAAGTGCTTATGTTATTGTCACTGCAAAAGTCATCTTATCAAAAGATTGGTCTGTTTGAATCCTGTCTCATTACTGTAAGTTGTCCTTCTCTACTCTGAAATTAAAACCATATGATTGATTTACTGGTGAAATCCAGTCTTTCAAAAATACGGGCTTGACCGTGAAAACCGGCCATGAATAGTCCCATTGAGCTCAGTGGCATTACTGGCATAAGTAATGACTGTGATCAGGTTCTGTTCAAACTATTTGACTAGGTTATTTTTTTAACTGAAGCATTTAAACATTTACACTTGTTTTAAAGTGTCAATAGAGGCAAAGACTCAAATACTGATTAAAAATAAGCACTCTGGGTTTAAATATTCCTCACGATCAAGCCAAAACTCACACATGCACTGAGTTCACAATGAGGACTTCAGATTAGTGGATATTTTTAATTTATTCAGTTGAAAATAATATATCATCCAGACAAGAAGTTTAAGAAATGTAGGATGAAAAGGGTACATTTAAAAAAACCTACCCTGAAGGACTAGTAAATCAATGCAAATGAAGCATAATATGGGTGTTTACACTGAAATCATACACTTCCTTCAATCATTAATCAAATTCCTTTGATTTTTAAAAATACAAACTTCTATCCTAAACCTTTCCTCCATTTGCTGCTCTCCTCCCCGGGAAAAAAACACCTCAAGTGAAAAAAAAAAATAGAATTCTACTTCACTCTCCCACACTATCAATGTTACACGACCGTCTCTTAGAACTGACCCAAATATGCATGTACTGTACTTGGTTTTGATTTGCCTTGCCACGCCACTCATGAGTCCTTCTGAACTGATTTCAAATGGGCCAGGGTCAACGTGCAGCCAGAATTCATACAGTTGTGGCCAAAGACAGACAACGTCATGCATCACTGAGGACTGCCCTCTGACCAGATTTGATGGTGGGCTGAGGCCTCTGCACGTGACTGATAAGGGCCACAAATCAGCTTGGCAAGCACCCCGCATCCATAAGAAAGCTGCTATATTCAGAGACAAAGGCTCAATCCTATTCCTACTGGAGTAAAAAGGGACTTTTGTCACTGACATAAAGGGGTGCAGAATCTAACCCCAAACAGTTCAAATCAGTTTTGGAACTCATGGGGAAAACATTTATAATGAAGTTATTGGTTATTAAAAGTTTCACCAGTCAAGCCTTGGTTTAAATACGAGTGATAAATATTTAGCTAACATTACTCCTAACTAAGCCCAGCGGTGGTGAAGTATGGAGCTTCAAGGACCAGGGTGACTGTCTGGTTACTGCACATTTATGACAGGTTTCAGAGGAACAGCCCGTGTTAGTCTGTATTCGCAAAAAGAAAAGGAGTACTTGTGGCACCTTAGAGACTAACCAATTTATTTGAGCATGAGCTTTCGTGAGCTACAGCTCACTTCATCAGATGTTTACCGTGGAAAACATCTGATGAAATTGACAAAAGACTTGTCAATTGACAGTGCTTCCAACTGGAATTGTTGTCACAAAGGAAGTGGTGCTGGATATAGCCTGTAAGTCAGGACCCACTAGCTTCATTAATTTTTACTGTTACTTGATTTTTCTCAGTGTTATTTTGAACCAATTAAAGTCCTTGTAGTTAATTAAAAGGACATGTTTAGCTTATTGCAAAAGTTCCCAAACTGTGATCAGTGGACCAGTTGCTGGTGGTCAATGGAAAGCTGGATGGTCTTATGGGGCTGACTCCTCTGCCTTGTTTCCAGCTTCTGAAGTTCATTAAATGAAGCTAAAAAATACATTAAGTTCTTTCCTAATTACTTTTTCAAGGTACAATTGCTGTGGCTACCCCAGGGATGTTATCTGATTACCAGTAGGAGACAGCCCCTGAAACATTCCCCTTAGGCGACATCTACACTATGAGCTAGGGTTGTGATTCCCCTGCTCGCATACACATACTTACACTGGTTCTCACTGAGCTAATGCAAATATAAATAGCAGTGGAGGCATGGTTTAGCTGTGCCAAGTTCAAACCTGCCTGAAACTCGTGGGTACGTACCCAGCACAGCTAAGCCACATCTCTGCTGCTACCCATGCTAAGCCGCATCTCTGCTGCTACACTTGGCTACACTGCTATTTATACTTGAGATAGTGCGAGTATGTACGTGTGAGCAAGGGAATCACACTCCTAGTTCACAGTGTAGTCGTGGCCTTAGAATATATTTAAGATATATTGTTTCAGGCAGGAGATCGGAGCACCCTCAGTCTAGATACAGGAGCCAAGGCTCAGAAATTGAGGCTGTAGGCTCAGTGTTACTCTGTCCTGGACTCGGTCTTTCTGTTAATCCATCTAGGTACGGATCCTGCTGTTCAATATGCAAGCTCCACCCAGCCTGAGTTCTAGCACATGAGACCTCACACTGCAAACACTAACCAAAACAAAAAAGGCACTGTACTTAACAGGGAATTAAGTGCTGAGTGTAGTTAACAGCAACTTCAGACAAGTGTCTGATACTCTGTTTAATTTATCAGCAGGCGTAATCCTAATGGACAATGTATGTTGTAAGATGTTCACCACCACTTTGTTGATATGTTTGTCAGCACCTCAACAAAGTGATGAGAGATACTGTCAGAGGAAAGACTGTGTTGAGGCACAGTATGGAGAAGATTAGTAGAGATTCAAATTATGCCGGAACTTCAGGATGTGCGTATGTCAGTGAAATGGATAATGTGCTGCCATGGACAGAAAAGAAAGTAAAAAAATTTTTACCTCAACAAATCTGCTCCCTGAGTGTATCTTAAGTTTTCTCTGCTTATTTAGTGACAAGTGAGATTTTATTACACTTATACTTCTGTTAGCTTTGCAAAGCTAGTGAGTTGACGGTTCTATTCCAGTTCTTGCATCAATAGAATTGTTAGCTAAGGGCTTGATTCCCCCCTTGATTGCCCTTCCTCATATGATAGTCCCTTCGATGGGATGACTCAGATGAGTTCTCCGCATCGGAGGGGGTCATTAAATTCAGCACCAAGTTACAAAGGAAGGATCCCAACTAACTTGTGAAGAAGCATGAGTCAAGACCCCAGATTGAATTGACAGGGCTGGCACTGAGAAAAGCCATCTTTTTACTGCTTAGCGCAACAGATTTGCCCTGGGGTCACTGAGAGACAAGAAACATAGAACCTCCAGAGAGTCACTTTTCAGAGCAGAACTTAAATGTTTTTCTCTCTGTACAAAGGACACGATGAGATAGTTCACTGGCTACAAACAACCCTTTCCATTTATTAATTATTATTATTATGTAGAATCTGACTATGGTAGTACCTACAGAACACTAGGCACTTTCGGAGGGCAATCTCAAAGAGCATGCAATCTAAAAATATGGCGGCTGCTGTCATGCCTTCCCTGCACCGATATATTAGCTCCCTGGACAAGAGCTGCTCTAAGTTTCGCACACATTCACACGCTCTCATTCAGGGGCCTCGTAACTGGTAAGATGGCCAAGTAGCAACTGGAGAAGTCATCCAGGGGAGGGATGGCAGCAAGAACTTGGTGCATGGCTCTCTGTAGCCTCTCTCCTCTCCTGGGCAGGGAGCCCCGGCCCCCACAGCACCCCATCCCTGAGGGGAACCCCTTCAGCTACGGTCTGCAAGAATCATCCTCCAGCCCTCCTGTACCATTCCCAGGAGGAAAGGGGACAGCACCCTCAGCTCCTTACTCACTCTGGTGTACTGGTTCCCACCTCCCCCAGGAGAGGAATCTCCTTACTCCTCAGGAACACAGCATCTTTTCCCTTCCTGAAGGGGCCTCGCTCGCTCTAGGGGGCTGAGCCCAATACCCCCTTCCCAGGCAGGCTCACTCCCGGTGGCTGACCCCCTATCCCCACTGGGGTCTCCACTCCTCATCCCCTTCCTTTTCTCATCCTTCAGGGCTTGGGGATAGAGCAGGGACTCATGTCAGGGGGCTGCTCCCCTGCCATGGCCCCTCCCACCCACCAGGTCTCTGGCTCACTCACTTTCGAGAGCCAGTCCCCATTTGCTCACTCCAGCCCAGCTCCAGCTCCCCTGGGATTGCCCGAACTCCAGGTGCTACTCCCATCCCCCCGGGGGTCTCTGACCCCAGCCCTCCCAGGCATTCTGCTCCCCCCCCGTCCCTGGGATCTCTCCCCCCAGCTCTCCCTGGGGTGCTGCTCCCCCCCCCCCCTGCCCCCAGGATCTCTCCCAGCAGCTCTCCCTGGGGTGCTGCTCCCCCCCGTCCCCGGGATCTCTTCCCCCAGCTCTCCCTTGGAGCTGCTCCCCCCCCGTCCCTGGGATCTCTCCCCCCAGCTCTCCCTGGGGTGCTGCTCCCACCCCGCCCCCGGGATCTCTCCCCCCAGCTCTCCCTGGGGTGCTGCTCCCCCCTGTCCCCGGGATCTCTCCCCCCAGCTCTCCCTGGGGTGCTGCTCCCCACCCCGCCCCCGGGATCTCTCCCCCCAGCTCTCCCTGGGGTGCTGCTCCCACCCCGCCCCCGGGATCTCTCCCAGCAGCTCTCCCTGGGGTGCTGCTCCCCCCCGTCCCCGGGATCTCTCCCAGCAGCTCTCCCTGGGGTGCTGCTCCCCCTGTCCCCGGGATCTCTCCCCCCAGCTCTCCCTGGGGTGCTGCCCCCCCCCGTCCCCGGGATCTCTCCCCCCAGCTCTCCCTGGGGTGCTGCTCCCCCCTGTCCCCGGGATCTCTCCCCCCAGCTCTCCCTGGGGTGCCTCCCCCCCCGGGGTCCCTCGGGGGGGCGCGGCCCGCCGCACTCACTCGGGGGTGTTGATCCAGATGATGTCCAGGTGGCAGTAGTACACGCACTCCTTGTCCTTGTAGGTGTAGCAAGTGCAGCGCTTGGCTCTGCGGCGTGGCGCTCCCGGGCCATCCGCCTTCCCTCCACGGCCGGTCCCGGCCTCGCCGCCGGCCAGCAGCCCCCCTGCGGCGGCCCGGCCCGTGCTCTCCGCACCCACCCGCTCTCGGGGCGCGGGAGACCGCGGGCCCCGGCCGCTCTCGGAGAGGGGCCGCGGGCGAGGCACGGGCAGCGAGAACCCTGCAGGGTGGGGAGAGAAGAAAGGCTGACCCGCGGGGCAGCAGCCGCTTGGGGGGGGGGGGCTTCCCTCGGCTCTGAATCCCCCCCGCCCCCCAGCGAGGGGCTTGTCCTGTCCACGAGCGCCCCCCCCGTCACTGGATTTCCTGTGCGGGGTGGCTGAGTTTGAATCCTGGCGGGCGGCAGGTCCGGAGGCAGCCCCCCGGGAGCACGGCACGAGCAGCGTGCCAGGGGCCCCGGCTGGTGAGCGGGGATTCAAGTTCCTGCTCCGGGTTCGGTTCGGTTCTCAGGCGAGAGTCAGGACGCGGAGGGCCCCGTGGTCAGAAGAGTTGCGTCTCGTTCGTGCAGCGTTCGTTTATATCCTCTTGTCTCCGTTAAACTCCATCTTAAACTACCGATTTGGGTTCCTACTGACTGACCACGCACCAGGCGCTGCAGCCCCCCTGCCTCCCGCCTCCCTCCTGCAACTTTGTGTGCCAGAGCGGGCGACCACCCAAGAAACCCCCCTTTTACCTGCGCTCGAGGTCACTGTAAGTCCAAAGAGTAACCAGAATCCCAGCTCCATTCAATCCGAATGGCCAAACGTGTCAACGGCCGGCAAAGGTGGCGTGGGAGGGGGGGGTGACTTTGTTCCAGGAGAAACCGCTTCAGGTTGGAGGCAGGGGAAATCCTTAGGTCTCGAGGCAAACGCTGCTTCCAGCAATTAGTTCCCACACGGAGGTGTGATCGGTGCTTCTGGCTTGTTGGGGTTTTTTCTTTTTTGCCCCCGTGCAGAATTAGTCCTGAAGGGGAGAGTGTTGTGAAAGGAAGAAAGGGTCCATTGCTGCGCTTTTCCCACACGCGCACACCCCCCCAGTCCGATTAGAAAGCGGAGCTGCTGTTTTAAAACTGCAGTTACCTCCCACAAGCCGACAGCTGACTGCTCAGTGTATATGGATGGTGAGGGTTGCGATCACTTACCCCCTCGTGGTTTCCCATGGCTTGCAGCCTTGCACAGGTAGAGAGAGGGAGGAGGCGCAAGCTGCTGCCTGAACGCCCTCCCGGATGTTCTGAACTTGCTATGTGGCTCTTAATCCATCGCTCTCACCAGAGCTGGCCCTGTTGCGTTTGGTATCGGCTCAGGGAGGTCGGCTGGTTTTTGTGGTCAGAGCGCTAGATTGTGACTCAGCTTTGTGCTCAGTTTTTTTTGTTTCTGCCACTGACTTCCTGTGTGACCGTGGGCAAGTTATTTAGGCACCAGATCCACCAAGCACTTAGTCTCCTAAATCTTGGATTTAAACAGCTAAATCCAGTCCCATGTGATCCATAAAACCCCCTCTGCCTTCTGCAGGCACCTCAACTCACTCAGTGGCTAAATTTTCAAGGTAAAAATTCCCTGGGTGCCTATTTTTCTGCCTCAGCATAAGAACTGCTGCCTCACTCTAGGCATCCAGATGCCTATCTCCTCGACTTGTGCCAGAATGATTCACGAAAGGCAGGAAGACAGGCATTCATCTGTCTAAACTGCGTGCAGCCCCCAATCTGGTAGGCGTGGGCTGTCTGCCTCACCGGCTACCAGCCAAAATCCAGCTGGAGGAAGAGGAGGTGGTACTTGCCTCCCTTATAACTTTCAGGTCTGGCAAAGGTCTCCCACATCCCTGGTGAGTGCTCTAACCACTGGGCTAAAGGGTCTAAAGTGAACACCTCCTCTGCAATCACTTTTGGTATGGAGCAAGGTAGCTGCCTAACTCATTCCTGTAAGAAACACCTAGCCACCTGATTCCAGCCATCAGTGCATTCCCTAAGCCCTCTTTCATGGGGGATGAGAGGGGGGAACCCTACAGACAATTATGCTCAATTTCTCCTATTTCATAAGTGCACTTTTCTCCTTCCCCAGGAGAACCACATAATTCTCCTCCCCTAACTCCCTCCACCCCCCAAAAATACCAACCTCTGGTGTGTGTTATTCATTAGCCACACTTTATATAAAAGCTCACTTCAATATCATGTTCCATTAATTAAGAAACTCAGTCTTGTTGCCTGTTTTCAAAGATGTAAAAACTGAGGCAGAGAGTGTAAATACTATGTTCCTGTCTAATAATACAAAGAGACATAATGTCTCTGAAAGTGACCACACTTTATGACATGTAGCTATAAAATATCAGAAGCAGGAGAGTGAACAGGTACTAAGTCCAAAGCCAGGCTGAAAAGACAGGATCACTATGAATTCTAAGAATTATTAGTTAAATCAGAGTTTCTAGTAACAGTGAGCCTCAAAGAAGCTCATAGAACGAGGAGTACTTGTGGCACCTTAGAGACTAACAAATTTATTTGGGGATAAACTCATGTCACTAGCACTACACTGAAGTTTGGCCCTGATCCAGCAAAGCATGTGCTTACCTGTAAAGATGAGAGTATTCCCATAGATTTCAATACTCTCCCCTGCTTAAAGTTAAGCATATACCTTATAACTTTTAGCCCAGTGGTTAGATCTCTTGCCTGGCACCTGGACCATTCAAGGTAGAGTGGTCTGTTAACATCTCTGCAGTCATAGGACTAAAAGAGGGGATTCGTGAATTATAGATTGTTGTAATGCAGTGTGTTGACTGGTCCCGGGCAATATGTGCTAACTACTTATGCTAAACAATCTATTCCACTTTGCATTTTGCTTAATGCTGGGAGTACCTTGTCAAGAGAAGTACTGTATGGCTCGAAACCTTACATCTGACACCAACAGAAGTTGCTCCAGTTAAACATATTACCTCACCAATCTTGTCTCTGTAATATCCTGGAACGAACACAACTTCAGCTTCACTGCATAATGCTTGACATTGCATTTTCACCTATCTGCAGGAGAAAAATTATAGAGGCATATTGTGCCATCATTTCTCAGTCAATGGGAAACACTGTTTATAAATTGAGGGTGTGATAATTTCCAAATGATATGATTCTAAATTCTAGTTTTATCACCTGAGTTTTCTTTTGTTGAAATATAAGAATTTTCCTTCTCCCTAATAGTGAAGTATTCTCACAGTAATAAGAGAAACAGTGACAGAAAGGAACAATGTAGCAGTATCATCATTTTATCATACTTATGGACCGATTAGCAATACAACAGCCACCGAAGACAATGTTAGAATGTCCCAATCTCAAATGCTACTGAAAGGCAGTATTCTGCTTTTAAAATCCTACCATTTCTTTAAATAGCACCTTGAATGTGCTCTGCTCTTTCTTATATGTGCTGTTTTCACTCTGAAAAGACAAGGAATGCTGTGTCAGCAACTCGAGTGCAGTGTAAACAAAAAAGTAATAAAATATATCCTAGAATTCTTAATCAAGGTTTAGAAATTAAGAACCCAAGGGCAAGGTTTTGACCAAATGAGCTGTAAAAGAAATAAAAGATTAGATGTAACTTCCACCGCAAAAACAGAGAGACCTTTAGCAAAGAGATTATTATTTCTGGATTCTGTGTGGCCTGATCTTGCTCTCAGCTAGATTCACTTCAAAGGAATTATTTCTGATTTCCACCCAAGTAACTAGGAACAGAAACAAATCTTTGTCATGCATTATTATTAGGCTTTTATGTTAGGTAAATATGTAGGCTAATAAGTCACAAATCAGAAGTTGTCTGAAAACACACATTGAATGTCACAACAATAACTAGCACAAAGATCATGCTTTTTCTTACTCAATAAGCAATTTCAATTAATGTGCTAGGTTCAGAAATGTTGAATGAATGTTTCATGAATATTCCATATTTATTTCTAAATTAGATATATAACCTTTAATTTTAGACCTGCATGGGAAATATTGTTTTACAAATCATTTTCTACCTGTACAGATGCAAACACCTGTAATCCAACACAGTGCCAAAATGTCTGCTTTCTCAGTCATTGTTTCTAAACGAGGCCCAATGCAGGTATATCTAATCTAGTGTTCCAAGTTCCAGGAGAGCATATCGATAAGCATAACTGTTAATTTCATATTTGCTGTCATGGAAGAATGCCTAATTAGTAATTAGACCCAAAAAAGGAATGATGGTGCTAATCTTTTAGGATGGTGATTTTGAATGAGGTTTAGGCATTGAAGTTTACTCATTTTTTGACATACAATAAAGGTGGCTTTGTGAGACCATTTGAGAGCAAAGCGTTCTAAAAAGTGCACTAGCAATATTACATAGTCCTTTGTCAAAAAACCTAAAAGTGAATTTTTTAAGACATACCCAGCAGGAAGTGTATATGAGGAGACAGCAGGGCTCAGCAGACGGGAAGTTAAGAGACCTGATTTACACGCTCTTTTACAGCTTTACCTTTGACTTGTGTGACTTTGACAAGTTACTTTCCCCGCTATACCTCAATTTCCAAATCTTGAGATCAATGTGCTGCATAGACGCTAAGTATCATTACCATTAATACTCTCTACCCTCTTCCCCACTTCTACCCACCTCCAACATGCCCCTTTGTGCCCCCTGTGTTGGTGGGTTGTAGAGGGAGTGATGCCAGGAGTCGGCTATGCTGGTACTACGCCCATAGAGTACTTCCGCACACCAGGGCAATCCCAGCTAGGGAGATGCAGCCAGTCTCCCTTCCCATTGGGCCACATGAGCAGCTGAAAGGGAGTGAAGAAGAGCAGAGAATCTGTCTCATTCCTGAGTGTAAATATTTGAGAAGAACTTACTTATAATTGACTGAAAGGCGAGATATGTCTCGAGCAGAGACAGGGCTGAGATTTAAGGAGTTTTGGAATGTGGAGCAGCTGAAGAGAAGGCATTAGAGTTTCCAAATCAGACTGACAGCAGGAATTCCCAAGAAAAGTGAGCTCACAGATTCTATATTTGAAAATTTGAGACTGTTAGTGTAATTAGGCACCTTTGGGTTTCTTTAATAAACAGTTTGTTTTTAACATATTTGTCTGATCCTTGTCTCCCCATCTTATAAATACTTCTGTGGAGGGGATTGATTACTCAACCAGATACTTTCTACCAATAATCCCATAGCATTTAGTCTCCAAACAAGTGCTACACAAAATAGTTATGAGTTACTAAAAGCTTTAGAGCTGTTTAAACAAGGGAGACCACTAAGGGGGAACATTTAAAAAAAAAAAAGACTTCCAGGATATACTCCCCTACTAATAAACATTGTATTAGAACTGGATTATAAAGGTTTGAGAAGTAGTACACACAGATGTCTGTTCTTACAACTACCTAGCGGCCCAGGAACAGAACCTAATTCACATAGGATGCATATTTAAAAAAATAAATGTACCCACCCATTGTTTTTTATTGTACTTGTTTAACAGGCACCATTAAAATCTCCTTCCCCACCTGCAATTCCAGCATTAATCACAATATTATTCTATTCTTGGAACAGAAGATGCTGTAGAACTGCAAACGTGTTTTTAATGGCACATGTACCTTTCTCAAATAATAAACAGAAATTAATAGATGGTGATTGTGTGTACAATGCAGTGAAATCAATAAGCTCTCCAGAAACACAGTGTTGTGATTATTATTTATTAAGTTACTTGTTGCTTGAGCTGCACAGCAATAAAATCCCAGAGCTGATCATGTTTCCCCTGCCACTTTAGTTGCCAGACAGCCTGATTCAAAGTCCTTTGAAGTGAATGGAAAGAATCACATTTACTTCAGGGGCCTTAAACCCAATTTAGAAAGATGATGACCACGTATGGTATTTTAGGAGTGTACAGGTCACAATTTGGTCACCCCTGTCTAAAGGAATCTTTCCCTCTGCCTGTCTCTTTCTTTCTTCCCTTCGTTTATTATTATTTATATAGCATCAAAAGTGACCTAGATGTTTAATAAAACAAATAGGAGGACCAGGTCCATATTCTGAGGAGTTTACAGTCTGGATAGAGCCCTGGAATCCTTTCCTTTCTTTTCTTCCTTCTCAGCTCTCTTAGCATCAGGGCAACAGCACAAAAATATAAATATTCCTTCCTCTTTCAGCTGTTGTGAAATCTAGAAAGAAGTTTTGCATAAAATAATACTCCTTGCTGTTATAATTTATTGCAGGTAAAGCTCATATCTCTGGATAGAAAGTGCTATCTAAATGCTAAGTACTATTGTTATTAATACTGTCCACCCTCCCCCAGATCTGAACCCTGACCTAAATCCCTGGATCCAAACAACCTCAAACTTTGGAGCAGTTAATAAAAGGAATTAAGAATAATATTTACAATAGTAAGCACTGTTAGATGAGACAATCTGTTCACTTGAAATTCGTTCAGGTGTGGAGGCAGCACTGACATAAGAAAATTCTAGGATAAAATATGGGTAGTCAATTAATCTGGATACTTTATGCTGTTTGCATAAAATAGGGATTGAGGGCCACCAGTGAAAAAAGATAAAGTGGAGGGTAGGAGCTGAGATGGCTGCCTTGTAGGAAGAACTTGAGATATATAAGGAAGAA